ATTGGTATTTCACATGATAGTGATGGTGGGAAAGTTTATATTGATGATAGATACATGCAATTTAGAGTGATTAAAACAAGTGTAATTACACCTATAATATCTCTGGTGCTTTCAGGGGTCAAATGTCCAATGGTCTGGGAAATAACAGACATACAATTGATGAATTTACTGTCTAAAATTACCATTTAACTTGTCCCCCACCCCTTCAATCATTTGTCATTCAATAATTGAGATATTTTGTTGAACAAAGATTTATTCTCTATCAAAACTTCTGAAAAGAAACCCTGTGGAGTGAACTACCATATTCTTCACACCTATCTAAAGTTTTGCAGATCAACACCATTAACTTAAAGATTACACATCAAATGATGTCTAACAAGGAAAAAGAAAGGTCAAATTGAATCGGGATTGAGTCATTACATTGTCTTGCAATGCCATATCTTGATAGACTTCTTTCTTATGTGTAGATGAACAACCATGATAGCTTTTTAAAGAAAAAAACCTGTTCAAAACTTTCAAATGTGAATAAGCGCACAGAGTAAAAACATACAATTTATTTTGTATCAGTGTATTCCAATTAAAAACCTAATATTTTTGTTAAAAGAATTTTATGTATCAGTGTATTCCAACTAAAATCCTAATATTTTTGTTAAAATATTTTAAAATTAACAACTGAATATACATATCTCCTGTATAAAGACTTAAAGACACCACATTCACTTTCATACATTTATCTGAAATTTTGGTGGGAAATCAAGCCATATGGTGCCAAAAATATTCTGCCACTTTCAACTCAGTGGTTAAACAGTTGTCACGGAAATCATATTAATACCTACATAATATTAAATTACAAGACTCCCACTGAGTTATAGAACCCTTTGCATGATCTGATGGAAGCAACACTCACAGATGTTTAAAGAAGACATATGTTTGTGATTAGAACATAGTTTAATCTCAACATCATACATGTACTACATGTACTTTGGTGACAATAAAATAGTATTTACTACATTTTCATTTTGGTAATAACATAAGTTTATATTTAATTAATAAAATTCAATATAAAATGGGGTTTAACTCATACTTTTCTGCTCCAACTGGGCAACTGTCAAGGGTTCTTTTATGTGCACGGCAAGATGTGCACGGCAAGGTGTACACAGGTCCTTGCGTTATTTTTTTCTTATCCCACACGTTCCTTGCCAGGCTGTATAGTGTATACTCACATGAGTGTTAGTCTGTTAAAAGTAGATTTACAAATTACCATCAATATCAATTGTAAAACTGTGAAACAAAATCAACTCTATCAAATAAATCTAAAATGATGGGTATAAATGTGTCCTAGCTTTAACATAAAGAGGTTCAAATCCAGCCATTGGCCAAAAAGATCCTTCAACATTGTTCAAGCTATTGGTTGTCGGTGTACCTAGTCATTTGGATAGGACAAAAAAGGGTCCTCCATATATTTCGGTACCTTTGAATAAATTGAAGAAAAATAGACAGAATCACTACTGTCTGTACCTCAGCATTTGCAATCATTGAAATAAAAATTAACATTTTGTTGCTAAATATCAGAAATATTGTATTCGAGAGTCATTAAACCCATTACATCCCAATTGACATATAATTCTGCTTTCTAACAAGCCCCTGAAAATGATTCCAACCAAAAATGTTTTATTGATGATAGCATTTGAATTCCTTGCTATTCCTGGTTTAAGCCTGTTAGATAAATCATCAAGACATTTGTAAAAAGTCTATATTTTAGCACATTGTAAGCAAATGCAAACATTACACAATGTGAAATTTAAAGACTAAAAGCAGTATCTTGCTCAATAATCGCACCACATTATAAGGTCGTGGTCAGTTCAGTGGTCAATAAAGTAACGTACATGTCAGGTCACGTGCAACTGTCTACAAGTAATTATTTAGGTCAAGCGACGATGAACAGCGTTAAACTGACAGAACTGATTACAGGTGAAATTCAACGCAAAAATCAAATTAACAGTAAAATACAAATAGAAAATAATACCTAGCACTTTTTCTGACACTTCTTCTGTTGTGTAGAACCGTCAACAGATTTCCTAACTTGTTGACAAGTCGATTTATTCCACTCCCACGTGTTCGTGTTTCATAAAACTTTCATATCGCCCCGCCGATCCAGCAATGATGTTGATACTCAACGGGTACACGCGTCTTCGTCACTGTATGTTCGTTTTTATCCAGTCGTTTTGTATAGAATTGTAACAGAGATCAAATGGCTTGATAAAAGGGAAACATGTCAGCTGTCAATATCAAGAAAAGTGAAAGTAAAATATAGAGCCCATGTGCAGTATTTCGTTCGATACATAATTTACAAAATTAAACATTGTTAACATTTTACCTGTGAATTACGCTGTATATGGACGTGATCATTTCAGCGATAGTGGATTTACCACTTCTTTTTTTTAACACAATAAAAAATTGTGGGACATTTTGACAGGGCAGCGGTTGAACGATCCGTAATCTCAGCCCCGGCGGAATAGGGGTGGCTGGGGGGAGGGGGAGCTTTAGCCCCCACAATAATTTAGCCGCAAGTACTCTTTTATCTAGGTAATTGCACGCAAGTAACTATTCAGTTAGATACAGTGCCGGAACTGCACGAGACTTCAGAAGAAAAAACCCTGCTATGCACTATCGTTCGTTCGTTTCTAAAGTTTTACGTTCACTTCCACCTAAAGTGATATAGTAGACAATCTATGCATTATACTAGTTCCTGGGTTAAGAACCCCCCAGAAGCGATGGTCGCGATTAGTTAACTGAGCAGTCGATCTTAAATATTCCATTCCATCTGACTTCCGTTGTATCTATGACAGATTGGGTAATTAAATCACGACGGGATAGGGCTTTTCTCACATTCTAGCTCTAGACTGGAAGGAAACTCATCCAAGAACTTTTGATCCTTAACACATTGTTTAATTTTCATCTCATAAATCGGACAAAAATTGTCGCCTCTGGAAGTTCAAAAACGTCATTCATATTTCAAATTTTCCATGAAAGGCAGGGGCATAACTCCAGAACGAATGCGCACCAAACTTGAACGTATCCATGAACTAGTGATACTTAACACTTGTTTTAATATTTCATCGAAACCAGAAATCTAGAAGATCAACAACATTTGTATTACGGGAAGTTTCGATCCGATTTTCAGTGATATATTTGGACGGTTTTTACAATCATTAAAAATTGTGACCTCTAGAGAGAGAGAGAGAGAGAGAAATGGGGTTTAACGTCCACTCGACACAAACTAGGTCATTTCGGGACTAACACATGGTTCAATTTTATTTCAATAATTCGCTTGCGCGTAGGGGTCTTTAGCAGTGGGAGGAAACCGGAGGACCCGGAGAAAACCCACGAGGTTGGACAGGCGACCCTACTCCTTGTCACGTACAACCGAGGATTCGAAACCCCGCCAGTTGACTCAATGACAGACCGTATGATACAGCGCATATGATACAGCCATCCAACCCCGACCTCTAGAAGGCCTACAAGCTTAAAATGTGATTTTTCGTACAATTAGGGACCATAATCCAAGATGTTACGGTCCGATATGCGTCAATATCGAAAAGAGTCGAGATCTGTGGGTTATAAGAATAGGCTACATTGTAAGTTTCATCAAAATCGGATAAAAATTGTGACCTGTAGGGTGTCCACAACCTTGGTATTATTATGCATATATTTGTCCAGTTCAGCATCACAGGAAAGCACCATCGACTGTATTGCTTTCGTGGTAAGGGATTTTAACAAAAATTAAAACTTCACTTCATTGCTGAGTAATTTTACTAGCCAGAATCGCCTATCTAGTCCTAGGACGTGGCCCCCTATCAAGAATTGCTTCCGTCGGCCCTGATTCTGACGTATTTGCTATTGCCAATGAATATAATAGGCTAAATGCGAACGGGGATCTTAGACTATGCAACCAGTGTGTACAGTCTAACATTGACAATGAATCACATGTTCGTGTAGGCTACCATACATTTTTTTCCCTCCAGTTTTCCTTTATAATCAGTGTATCGTATTGTTTTTCTCTAACAATTTTCACATGCACCTATCCTATTGAATTTATTTCACCTTCCACGTGTATCGATTTTGGCGCGACATTATGCTGTCTTTTTCTAAGCACCTTTTGAGCGGACGGCGAAAATGGAATCGGTCTTCAGAATAGACTAGCTCAAAGGTAGCCAGCAGCAGCCTACGATAAACCTACAGAAAGGAGGTATAGATGATTTTTTCGCATTACTTCATACATTTATTGAACCTTTAAATTCAAATTAGTTTGAAGTTATTATTATTGGCCTTGCGATTCATTAAATTGGCCTCTAGACTAGACCCGTCTCCGTTTTGAACCCAGGCGTGGGTTTGGGAGGAACTTTAAGCTTGGTTCCTCCTTTTCAGGGGTGGAACCTGGGGGCCTGATATAGAAAGTGTTGTCTAGTCAATCGGGTGGGACTAAAACCGAAAATCCAACCATGTTGATGTGCGCGCAAAAGAAACCTGACACAGCTGAAAATTGACGAAAAGTAATTGGTATCACTTTTCTTCTATGACTCATTTCCTTTATTATTATGTACTTCATGTTATTATTCAGAAATGATTACCAATCTGGCGGGATATAAAACTGTTTTTCGCGGTGATGCGTTCATTACAAAATACCAAAAAAGTTCTTTTGATTAAGGGGAAATAACTACATTAAAGCCATTGAAATTGCAGTTACGTCCCTTCAACCATTAAATAGAAACGTAGTCTTGATTTATTAGTATTTTACATATTTTTTTTTGAGCATGGAAATTAATTAAATACCTACTATATTCATTAGAATCTGGTAAAATATTTTTAAGTAGATCAATTACATTTATTTTTCCATATGCATGATCGAGTAATATCAATCATTGTTCAATTCCATACAAATATATAAATATTTATACAATGTTCTATGATCAGTTCATAATAACGGGAGGTAACTCCCGTGTCCCAGTTCCTAATGTCAACAAAGATGGCTGTGAGTCGTTAGCAACAAGTAAATTTCTTTCATTTCCAACTTTTATTCACCTTCTAAACCCTTTGAAGAAAGTGTCACAAGTGAGTATTTTTTTTATGGACCATTGTATTTGAACCCATAACATTTATAAGGACAGCTTCTAGAAGACAAAAGAAACACAAATAGTATCCTGTAGTACTGGACCAAAGAAGACAAAATCTTCATTGGAAATTGAATTACGATATTTGATCTTAATAGTTCAAGTAAGAGACGGAAAAGATGGCTTAAATATATTACAATATATAACAGATACAATTTTAGATAGAATAAGGTTTGGACCAATGACAATAACAACGGTAGGCCTACAGGAGGCCTACAGGAGGCCTAATAAATAAGCTTACCACATTTTCCTCATTACACTCACACTGCGTCTGCGTTATTGTCAGATTTATAATTTTAGAAAAAATATGTAAGCTTAGACCAATGAACCAGATAAAAGCTGCCGATGGATCTACACACAATGTACAATATTTCTAACATAGTAGGATACCAGTAGCTTAAGTAGGCCCTACACATGACAGTGCCAGTTTGTTCACATACTCTTTTTAGTATAAACTTAACACAAGACGAAGCTATAAAAAGTTCTGCCTTATAAATTAATCATTTGACATTTTATTTTCAAGAACCTTAAACAGTTAAAATGGGAAAGAAAGTCAAAAAGGATGAAAAAGCACCTCCCGAGGATGTAGTGAGTATTTACACAATAAAATCAATAACAAAATTTGACTTTCCAAAATAAATGAGATATGATGTTTGGTGTATCCTACTACTGAATCCTGCTTCCATAACTACTTATGACCTTAATTGCACAGTAGTTTATCAAGAGCATAGCAAGCCAGATCGTTCACATAATGTCTCAAGTCAAAAATATATACCAGGGTTGGTACGTATGTAAAAGATACCACAATTATTATTACCTGGTACTTTAGTATAAGAGAGATAAAAATGTTGGTTTGAAATCAAAATCAACTTAATATGGTCACAACTTAAGTTAGAATTGATTGATCTGTTCAAACAATTTATGGACCAATTTTTTTATAAAAGTATTTTTGGTTGTGTATTTTGGTTATAGGCTACTCAAATAACTTATATTTAACCTTTATTCTGGAAAGTTTTGGCCATTAATTATCAACATCTCTAATATTGCTTCATGGAAATTAATGTAACTTTCGGTAATTCTTACTTTAATAGCTTAATCAATGTTGTGCACATGATTTTCTGTTTTTATGGTATTTAATTGATTTTCAATGTGTTTTAGTTTGATACTATACTGGTTGAAAGCAGACAGGCAGCAACAGTTGTATTAATGTTAAGCAGTCCTGAAGAAGATGTACAATCTAAAGCCTGTGAAGCTATTTATAAGTTTGTTGACAAATGTAAGTTTAGATTTATTTATGTCAGTTAAAAGAGATAAGTAAGATAATTTTAACATCTTAATCTGGGTCACATTTTACTACATTGTGACATTCTGTATAATATTTCTTAATTCCTTTAAAATCTAACTTCCATCTATTACTATATCTTCAATAGTTTCTGCTACATCTTAATTTTATCCTGTACTATCAGCAGATTGAAATACATGTAGCATGAAGAAATTTTACCCTACCGGCACTATCTTTCTGTATAATGAAATACATGTAGCATGAAGAAATAAGTTGTATTAAATAAGGATAAGATGTATTTCAAGAATTTACTTTGAAAACAATCATTGAATTATTATTCATTTAATGCCATTTTGTAATATTAGGAAGCTCTTCTAATTTCACACAATTCAAAAAGTAGACATAATTTAAACTGTTGTGGTTTTTTAGGTGATGAGAATAAGAAAACTTTAATGGATTTAGGTGCAATTGAACCGCTGTTAAAATTAATGGGTAGTGAAGATAGAATAGCTAGAAGAAATGCTTGCATGGCTTTATCAACTATGTGTGCTAACTGTAAGTATATTTCTATAAAGATGAATACTATGATTTTATAATCAGTGATCACACCTCCTAAAAATTTATTTTGAAATTTCACTGAATGCAAAGAAACCACATCTGTTTTAATACATCACATGCGATTCAATTTGATTAAGATATTTGAATATATCTGTAATACTTCACAACTAATTTTTGATGTTTTTTTTCAGCTGATGTAAGAAAGTTCTTGCGTAAAAGAGAAGAATCTATTCCAAAATTTGTAGCTTTGCTGGTACCAGAAGGTGATGTATTAATATCAATAATTCTGCTGTTATAAATTCCAACTTGGGAAAAATTTGTAGAAATTATTTCAATACAGTGTCATATCTATACAATGTGTGTACAAATTGGTTATGCAAGTAACAGATTCTCTATCTAGCAGTTGGAATGCTGCTGTCCAGCCTAAATTCTCCCCTAAGTCATTGCTCTTTTAATCATACAAATAAATTCTCGAATAATTGTGTTATGACAAGATGTTAGAGTTCATTCACTCATTGAGGATTGGTAACCTCACATTTTATATGATTACACCCCCCCCCCCCTCCCTCCCCTTCTTCCCATCCATTTAGTTCATGTTTTATATTTGTGTTGTTTTATTTTCAGAAGATACAGTTGTTCATGAGTTTGCTGCTTTAGGATTATCTGCCCTTGCTACAGAATTTACAAGTAAAGTTGTTATAAATGAAAGTAATGGTGTTGAACCGTTAGTTCGTTGTTTATCATCCAACGATCCTGATGTACAGAAAAATGCCATTGAAGCTCTAGCACAGCTTATGATGGTAAGGTTCAGATTATGATGTTTCTGCAGGTTTTGTAGATCACAAGATAGATTGAACCATGTGATGTCCAACCTTGTCTTTAAATAAGCAACCTTGTTAGCATCAGAATGTGTAAAATGTTGATGAGGTGTTAAGACTTATTGGTATTCATTGTTATTCTGCTTTCATTATAAAACTTTATAAATCACAAAAAATTGTTAGCTACCAAATGAGATGAGAATATAAGTAATACACAGATGAGAATAACAAATCTTGAACAGATGAGAATGATAAGTCATGAATAAGAAGTCTTGAACAGATGAGAATAATAAGTCTTACAGTTGAGAATAATATTAAATAAGTCTTGAACAGATGAGAATAATATTAAATAAGTCTTGGACAAGAGGGTAGGGCCTAGTATTGAACAGATGCGGTCAATAAATATTGTATTAGTATTATGGTTTATCAATGAAATACGATTTAATTTAATTAATACATGTATACACTATGTTATTGTTTTCTTTGACAATTGTTAATTGTTATTGTTTATAGGACTATCAAACCAGGGCAACAATACGTGATTTTGATGGTTTAAATTCAGTATTAGAATTATTAAAGAGTGAATTCAGCATCATACAGAAATTAGCTTTATTAACGTTAGAACGAGCTGCTCAAGATGGTAAGTTATTTTTCTCTTTTAGATTATTCATTACTTACCCAGGGGGAGTACCAAGTTAGCTAATTAAAGCATGTATAAGGTTACAAAGCAACAGAAAACAAATTTTATTTCTCAACCAATGCCTACCTAAAACCAATAATATTTCATTCATTTTGTCAAATAAAATGAACTGAAATGAGGTTTAACTTCCTACTGTACTGCTCAGACTGGGTTAATGAAGACAGGCATACACCATACAGTGTGCTATGAGGGAAATGTTGCCCAGACAGCGACACTATGGCCTACTCTTCTATCAAATTCCGACTGCCAAGGGATCTTTTAGATGCACGCCAATGTGTATACGGGACCTCGTCTTTTTGTCCCATCAAAATGACTAGACAGCTTTCTTTGTCAGGTCCTCTGTCCTGCACCACTGACACTGGGAAACCACCACGGAAAATCTTGGTGAACTTTCTCGGCCAGGCCTTTTGTTTTGTATATTTTATTGATAATAGAGCCAAGTTGTTTTGTATATTTTAGTTGATAATAGAGCCAATTTGTTTTGTATATTTTTTAATTGATAATAGAGCAAATTTGTTTTGTATATTTTAGTTGATAATAGAACAATTTTTTTTTATTTTTTTTTAGTTGATAATAGAGCAATATTTATTTTTTTTTTTTTTTAATTTGATAATAGAGTAATTTTTTTTTAAAATTTTTTTAGTTGATAATAGATTCAATTTATTTGTATATTTTTTTTAGTTGATAATAGATTCAATTTATTTGTATATTTTTTTTAGTTAATAATAGATTCAATTTATTTGTATATTTTTTTTAGTTGATAATAGAGCCAATTTGAGAGAACTAGAAGCGATATCTAAACTGATTAACTTTTTGGCTCATCCTGAATGGAATGATTTACATGTAATGTCTGTCATGGTATTATCTAGTTTACTAGAAGATATTGAAAGTCTTGAGGTAAATCAAATTTCATAGTTTGAAACAAAGAACAGCCTAGCTACCATTTTAAGAAAGAGTTGATGAAAACATGATGGAATTTGCGATATTCTTGCTTGCTTTTCACAAACTCCACTGCATAGCATTTCTTTAGAATATAATGTTAATTTGTACATTGAATCATCAACTTGTACATTTAATCATCAACTTGTACAGTTCATCATCAGCTTGTACATTGAATCATGATTTTTTTGCAAACTCTAAAGGGGTGTGATAGGTGCTGTTGACATGAGCACAGTCTTAATAACTCTGTATATTTATTTATTTCTAGGATATAACTCTAACCTTTATTATTTATAGCAAATAAAAGAAACTGGTGGCTTAAAGAAGTTAGTAGCAATTATAACAGACCAAGCACCACCTGAAGAAGAAACAAAAAAACCTGATAAAAAACCTGCTGGTAAAGGTGGCAAGAAGAGTGCTAAAGAATGTAAGTAACTATAAAAATCACAGAGCTAGGCATTTGCATAAGATTATAGGGTAGAACTAGAAGGGAATAAGAATTACTGGTTATACATTACATTATCATGGCCATTCCCATTTTTCTTATTAATATCATGTACAATATATTTTATATTTTATCTGTAATGGTGTGTTTCAAATAGTAAAAAAATATAGTACCAGTATCAGTATATTGATAGTTTTTTTTTTTTTTATATTTTTTTTTTTTTTTTTTGGGGGGGGGGGGGGGGTACATGCTCTTTGCTTATTCCTCAATTTCTTATGAAAAATACAATATGTTTTATTTATTAGCTGCTAAGAAACCAGCAGAAGAGAGTAATGAACAGAAGGACGGTGAAGGTGTAATACCAACTTTACCTGATGTTAAAATGTCAGCAGCTAAAGCTATAGCCAGATCTGCTAGAAATAGTAAGTAACAGTTTGTCATATACGCCCACAAAGTTACAATAGAGCTTATTATTTATAAGAACGTCACAAAAAAACAGGTGTTTTGTTTATTAGTCCTGCCTCAACATCTGTGTGTCTAAAGTTACAAATTTAAATTACAATGAAGGTATTGATTGTTATCAAATTGGAACCTGCTGAAACATTGCAACCTTAGTTGTCCAATGTCTATTCACTTGATTTGATAGTTTACTAATAACTTCTTACAATGTAAGTGTTGCACCGTACCGTGTCTGTCTAGTGGTTATCTTGATTATATTTACTTTAAGTGTGTGCTCATGTTTTTATTTAATTAAAGGGTTATTATGTAAGAATAAGATTTAGATAAAGAGCTGGCCGTTCTTGCTATAATATTTAAAAAAATAGATAATCCAAAATGAATTGAAAATTTCATTCAAATTACTTGATTTTGAGCGAAGTTATCAATGGTTGTAGTTTTGACAAGATGTGTGCATTGATCTTAGCCACCATTCTGGTCATTCAAGTCTTAACCTCTCTTCTCCATTTTTAAATTAAATCATTAAATGGCCAAGCTGTTATAATCTACTTAAAACCAGAGCCATCTGATGGGATCGAGAGCTGATTATGGTCTTATTAATAATTTATATAATATTTAAGGCATAAAGAAAGATCTGCAATATGCTGATTTAGCTCTTACATAATGCCTGTTTAAATGTCATTGAATTTCTTGCATATTTTTAGGTGAAAACAGAAAGATTCTGCATGAACAAGAAGCAGAAAAAATGTTAATTATTCTCTTGTCTCATGAAAATGTTGATGTACAGTCATCGGCTGCCCAGGCTTTAGCTATAATGTGTGAAAATCTCAGCAGTAGAGATTCTGTGAGAGAAATGGGTAAGTAGACATTTTTGAAAACATCTTAGCAAATTTTCAAATTGATAACAGGGTCTGGTTATTTGGATGGTACAAAAAATCAACATCTGCCTTTGTACACATTGGCATGCACGTAAAAGAACCCTTGCTAGTTGTAATTCTGAACAAAGGTAATATGTCGAAACCACATTCCATTCTAAATATTCTTGTACAGACTGACAAATGCATTTAAAATGGTTGTTCATGTAGCTAAAAATACTTTATTATGTTATATGCCCCATTAAAAATTTTGTATTTTCATTTATAGAGGGTATGGCACCTTTGATAAAATTATTGAACAGTGAAAATGGTGATGTAAAAGAAGCAGCTACTTTAGCTCTAGCTAATCTTACTACAGCTAATCTTGCAAACTCTAAGTAAGTTTATCATTCTTCTATAAATTTGTTTTATGTTCTTTTAAACCATCTCTTCTTGATTAGCATCTTCTCATACAATTTTGGGGGGTTGGATGGCTGAATGGTTAGCACGTGCGCGCTGTATCATAAGATCTGTCATTGAGTCAACTGGCGTGGTTTCAAATCCCCGGCTGTACATGACAAGGAGTAAGGTCGCCTGTGGATGTTAAACCCCATTTCTCTCTCTCTCTTTCTCTCTCTCTCTCTCTATTTCTCATACAATATCTTATATATCATCCATCTATTGATAGTGATACTTAGTTTGGAAACCAGTAGGCCTACTTGATCATTTTCTTGTGTTAAGATTTTACATTAATTTGAGGACAATTTTATTGCCATTTATTTTCAATTGTTTGTTGTTGTATTATTAGAGATGTGGTGAATTTAAATGGTTTAGAACCATTAATACATATGTTATCAGACCAGAGAGAAGAAGCTGTTTCTAATGCTGCCTGTGTTCTAACTAATATAGCACAAGATGATACTCTACGTGCTGAGGCCTTAAATAAAGGAGCTGTTACAGCTTTAGTTGAACCACTTAAATCAAGGTAAGTTGTCACAGCTGTAGTTGAACCACTGAAATCAAGGTCATTTTTCACAGATTTCTATAAATGGGAGTGTTTTGAGTATTAATTCCGTTAAGGCAAGACTTTGAAGTGTGATGGATGTATTAGATACATTAGATGTATCGATATGGTGTTCATTACTAGACACTGTTTGAAAATGGATTTCTTTCCCTTGAATAACTCATGCATTTTGTTTGACTAGCGATTTTAGATCGGGCTGAGAAATAATCAATTATTCTCAAAGCAATTAAATGTAAAATTATTTATCATACATATATATTATAGATATACAATTCTATTCGCTATGTGAAAAATAACACTTTTATTAATTTTTGTTTTTTATCTAGTAATACCATTGTACAAAGCAAAGCAGCTTTGGCATCTGCAGCTTATTTATGTGATGTAGAATCTAGAACAGAAGTAAGTATGCGCTTTCAAAATATTTGCTGAAATGAAATTTTAATGCTTGTATTTATTTTCTGGGTTTTGGATTCACAGTTTAAAGGAGCTAAATCGCTAATATTTGGGACCTAGAAATTGACACAAATGGGTTGTAACACATATGATAATGTAATATGAATCTATATAGACTGATTTACATTCAATCGTGTCTGTTTTTGCTGTAATTTCTAATCAGTTATGTTTTTCGAAATATGCCTGTGCATGCTCTACATGACTTGTGGAATACATCTAGCCTCGTTCTTCGAGTTCCTTGTTACAAATGACACTGAAATGCATTATGGTACACGATTCGTGTACCAATGGTAAAATGGTGTTTTTTTTCTTCAATATTGGATATGAGAAGCCCATATTTTCCCGGTAAGATCACAACATCAATGTTGATTTAAATTGACAAATAATTTGTGTTTTTCAATGTTGAAGACTTTGGATGATATTGAGTTAGAGATTTAGCTACTTAAAAGTAGACCTTCATCTGAAATTGAATTTATGGACTAGGAAAGGATTGGCTAAAAGAATATAAAAATTATAACAAAATATATTATGATTGAACCTGATCACTTCTATTTTCTGTTCCCTATTTTAGTTCCGTGAAGCTGGGGGTTTGGAGCCTTTGATAGATTTTCTTGATTCTGGCAATGATGATGTGAGACGTAGTGCTGCCTGGGCTATAACAGTCTGTGGTGTTGATGAAGCTTCAGCAGTAGAAATATGTAAATTGGGGTATGTATGCTTTTCATTTTAAAAAATATTTAGATATAAAAAGAAATTGTATGCAGGAGGAAGGCATATTTGATTTAAACTTCCTTACAATACAAAATGTACGCTATATGAAATTAAAATACTGTGTAGGTTTATAATGTTTTTTAAATGAAAATGAAGTGTTGGATATGTATGTTACAATGTAAAATGTTTTGGGTTTTTTTTTTTACTATAGAGGTTTAGGTGTTTTACAACAGATTCAATTATCAGAAACCAAAAGAACACCATTTACTGATGCAGCATTATACAGAATACTAGATAGTAATCTATCAGCTAAATATTCTCTGACAGGTTATATAGGTATGACAAAAATATTATATCATAATAATAATAATAATAATAATAATTTATTTATAGAGCGCCTATAATCCAATACTTAGATTGCTCTATGGCGCTATTACATTATTGTAAAGGTATAAAATATAAAACATCTCAATAATAAGAACATTGCACAATTAGAATAAAATATGGTATACAATAATAAAAAAGTAAACTCTGAAAAAGCTTAAGCATTTAGCAATTAAAATGGCTTTTAAAAAGGTGGGTCTTTAACTTTTTCTTAAAAACAGGCAGGGAAGGGGAATCTTTAATTTCAGAAGGTAACTTATTCCATAGTTTAAAAGCAGCAAAACTATAAGACCTTTCCCCAAATGAGGATTTTGCATGATAGGGCATTAGCAAGTTTTTGTTTTGTGATCTAAGTGTGCGTGTAGGAATATATGGGGTCACTAGTTGTTTGAGGTAGTCAGGTGAGTCTTCAATATTAATGACAGCATATGTTAGAGAGAGTATTTTAAATTCAATTCTGCTAGTAACTGGCAGCCAATGCAGTTGGTGTAAAATAGGGGTGATATGTTCACATAGTTTAGTTCTAGTAATGACTCGAGCGGCTTTGTTTTGAATTTTTTGTAATCTATTTAGCTGAAGAGAAGGCAAGTTAAACAATAAAGAATTACAATAATCAAGGCGGGAGGTTACAAGTGAGTTGACAAGCATTTTAGAAGTATCAGTATCAATAAAGTTTCTTGTGCGACCTATATTATATAGTTGAAAATTGGCGGATTTACACATATTCGACACATGTTCTTTCATGTCAAAATTTTTCCCAAATTTAACACCGAGGTTCCGTACACTGTTACTTGGATGTATGACAGCACCACCCACTTTAACATATTTTGTAATAATTGATGAGAGTCTATGATCGGTTCCTATTTTTAATAATTCAGTTTTATCATCGTTTAGTTTTAAAAAGTTGTTTTTCATCCAGTTTTTTACATTATCAATACATTTCTCCAACTGAATGATTTGTTTACTTTCGTTGTCGGGTGTTACAGCCACATACAGTTGTGTGTCGTCTGCGTATATATGATAGTCTAAATTGTGATCTCTAAGAAGTTTACCAAGAGGGCAAGTATAAGCCGTAAATAATAACGGACCGAGTACTGATCCTTGCGGAATTCCATATTTTATGTCTACTGGTTTTGATGACTGCTTATTTATGACAACAGACTGTTTTCGTGAAGTGAGATATGATTCAAACCATTTCAGGGCATAGCCAGTAATTCCAAAATAATCTTTTAAACGTGTAAGTAGAAGTGCTTGGTCGATGGTATCAAAAGCAGCACTTAGGTCAAGAAGAACAAGAAAAACTACATTTTTATTATCTAGATTAATTAAAATATCATTTTGCACTCGGAGTAAAGCCGTTTCTGTACTATGGAGTTTTTTGTATGCGGATTGAAAGGGTTCGTCCAGATGCTGAAATTTTAAATGATCTTTAAATCTAACAGATACTGCTTTTTCCACAAGTTTAGATAAAAATGATAGGTTAGATACTGGCCGATAATTTTTGAAGATGTTACTGTCTAAAGTACTTTTTTTGATTAAGGGAAAAACTAAAGCTTTTTTCAGAACATCAGGGAAGGTACCAGTTGATAATGATGTATTTACAATATAAGTAAGAACAGGACACAGTTCTTCGATGCACAGTTTCAGAAGCGGTGATGGAAGCGGATCTAACTCGCATGTCGAAGACGATGATTTGGCAACGAGTTGCTTGATTTCTTTGTCTGATGTCGGGGAAAATTCTGACATGACTTGAGAAGGTGGTGATATAACAGATAGACATGTTGTCTCGGAGTTATTGTCTGTTTCAAGTTCAGTCCTAATATTATCAATCTTGTCACAAAAATATTTAGAAAACTCTTCAGCAAGGTCAGCATCATGGGTGTAATCTGGTAGTATTTGTTGATTATGCGGTTTCAGGATACTATTGACTATGTTTTGAAGTACTTTTGGGTTATCCTTATTAACATTGATTTGTTCTAAAATATAGTCTTTTTTTACTCTACCAATCAAATTATTTGTTTTGTTCCGCGCTTGAGTATATAGCTGTCTATTAATCTCAAGATTAGAATTTCGCCAAAGTCTTTCCATGGACCGTCTATGGATTTTACTCTGTCGAATTTCATCAGTAAACCATTTACGATTTGGTCGAATAGTAAATTTGGCTTTTTTAATGGGAGCATGGTCATCCAGAATATTTCTTAGAGTGTCATTATAAAGATTAATTTGTTGATCAATATTTGCTCTGTCGAGTTCCTTTAATATTTTAGAGTTAATAATATCTGATCGAAAATCTTCAATGTTAATATTACGTATTTTTCTATATGTAATTGTCTGTTGTTTAGGTATGGGTTTTTTTATATTGAGCTTGGTAAATATGCTAAAGTGGTCTGAGACCAGGTCATCACAAATATGGACATCTTCCACAGTGTCGTCTAAAACCCTAGTTATCACCACATCAAGTAAATGACCTTTTCTGTGCGTACTGCCAGTAGTATGCTGTTTAAGATTAAATGAATCTAAAATATCATAAAATCTATTTGATATGCTACACTTGACATCATCGAGATGTAGATTTAAATCCCCAACAAGTAGTAAACGAGAAGATGAGTCAAAAGTTTCGTACAGTAGATCAGTGAATTCACTGAGAAAAACATCACGACTGGATGAAGGTGGACGGTATAAACAAACAATTCTAAGGACTTCATTTGTACATTTTACAAGTATGTCAAGGTGCTCAAAAGACTTTATTATGAAATTTTGTTTAAGAGGTGTAATATTTTGTTAAAATATTAAATGAACAGAAATAAGGTGCTTGGAATTATTTGAAACTGTTTTTATATTATGAATATATTCCAAATGGACAAACTCATTTGATACCACGGAAAGCACATGATATAGAGACTAGGTAGCTATACCAAACATCAAATGAAAACTTTTTAAAATTATTGCTTTTTATAATCAAACATAGAACTACTCAATTGAAGGATGTTTAAATTTGGTTTTGTCCCATTTACATGTATACCGTAATATGCTGGTGTATATTTGTTTTCTGTCCCATATACATGTATTCTTATGCCGAATACTGGTTGTATTTCTGGAATTATAATTAGATTCATTTCCCAATTATATCTGTGCTTTATTTTTATAGGTTATAATAATTTAATAGAAGATGGGTTCTATGATGCTGGACAGATGAAGAAAGGAAGTAAATTTTTATCATTAGAAGAATTTTGTAACCAAGAATTAAATGACAAAAGACCAGTTATTCTGATCAACCCAAAACCTGAGTAAGTTCTTAAAATTACATTAAAATTACTGGTGGCTCACACTGGCTTTCAATGGTTTTCCACCAAAGTGGATGATAAATTTTATATAAAAAAAATGTTCATATTTTTTTCCGCCCACTGGAATATTTTATCTGCCAAACATGTGTGATAAAAAAGACAACATGCAAGGTAGGCCTATTATAAAACAATTAACGGGATATAAACAACAACTTAAAAAATCTGTCTTTACATAATACATTATTAGCCCAGTTTTGAGATGATTGGATGATTTACTAAGATCAGATTTTATTTTTGATGACTTTAGTCTGCACAATATATTTTCAGTATTTACACTTCAAACCTTATCGAAAGATTCCCAACTTTCTATAAACTTATGCTTTGTGTGTACAATAGGCATATTGTCATTTTTCATGTACCGTATAGAATGATAAGATATTCTTGCAATTATACTTGTGGTTCACTATTTAGAGCATTTTGGCGACGGTAATATGAAGCAATTAGCGGACTGTTTTCCCACTCCATAAACGTCACTATTCGACCTGTTTTTGCGTTTCCGACCAATGGTGAAATAATTTGAAATATCCGATTAGGCATGCTTGTCGGGAAAGAATTTGAAATATCCGATTAGGCATGCTTGTCGGGAAAGAATTGTCAGCCATTTTGATTATTTCAATTTATTATTTTTTTAGACAAAATGAAACATCAAGTAAATAATGACTTGAGATAGGCTTTGTATATGTCATTGGCAATTATCAATCTACTAATCATTAATCCGAGATAATTGGTTAGTATTACTCACTGACATGATCCGATTTATCAGCGAGTTGATTAATTTATAGTATGCCGCCAAGTAATTGTGATTGACACTCAGTGTAATGGTTAATCTAGGATATAGACAAATAAAATTTTAAGATTTTTTATTTGCCAGTTTTGAAAAAGAATGGCCAGTACCCCAAAATGTTATTGCCAAAATTATCACCAAAATCAAATTTTAATCGCCACTTTCATATTTTTATCGCAAAAGTCGACTTTGGCAACCGACAGCGTGAGCCCTGCCTAGATATTTTAGTGAATAAAGTACTATATATAAATACAAACAATTGATATTCCCTCTAGGTTTGATTATATCTAGCTAACTGTGTAATCTTCTAGGTTTCATTATACATAGTTACTGTGTAATCTTCTAGGTTATATTATACATAGCTAATGTGTAATCTTTTAGGTTTTATTATACATAGCTAACTGTGTAATTTTTTATGTTTTATTCTACAAAGTTACCTTGTAATCTTCTAGGTTTCATTTTACATAGCTACTGTGTAATCTTCTACGTTTATTATACATAGTACAGTGTAATCATCTAGGCTTTATTATATGGTGACTGTGTAATCTTCTATTTTATTATAAATATAGCTATCATGTAATCGTCTAGGTTTTAATATACATAGCTACCAGTGTAATCTTCTACTTCTTTTAGGTTTTATTATACAAAGCCACCATGTAATCGTCTAGGTTTTATTATACATAGCTACTATGTAATCTTCTAGGTTTTATTATACATAGCTACCATGTAATCTTCTAGGTTTTATTATAAGTAGCTACCATGTAATCTTCTAGGTTTTATTATACGTAGCTGCCATGTACCGGTAATCTTCTGGGTTTTATTACACATAGATACAATAGTCTTCTAGGTTTTATTATACATTACTATTGTGTAGTCTTCTAGGTTTTATTTAAATTTGGTGTCTATTGTAAGTTTTTCTTCCAGGGTGACATCGGCTGAATCTAAAACAGAAGATGTTGGTCTTAAACCTGAAAGTTCCAAAACAAGTTTATCAGGAAAATCATCAAGAACAGGCAGAGAATCAAAATCGTAAGTTGATCTTCAACTCTCATTATTTACCCAATCATGTAAGCATCTAGACTTGTTTTGGGGGTTAGAATGTTCTTGATATGGATTGAGAGGAGAATTCAGGGGTTGTATTAGAGGAAATATTAATGAGACCAATAAATTATATAACGAAGTTGTTTACAAATGTGTGTGCGGGGGGATGGCCGAATGGTTAGCATATGCACATTGTATCATAAGGTCTGTCATTGAGTCAGATGGTTTTGATTCCCCGGTTGTACGTGACAAGGAGTAGGATCACTTTTCCAACCTTATGGGTTTTCTCCGGGTCCTCCGGTTTCCTCCTGCTGAAATTGAACAATAAGTAAGTCCCAAAATGACTTAGTTTGTATGTGTTAAACTCTCTCTAAATTCTTAGTCTGCTAGATATGAATTTTATTAAAAAATGTGCAATTTGGATTAATTCATTGGAACAATATAGGCCTATAGCAGATATCATATACTGTTTAAGTCACTATCTGTTTTAAATGACACTTAAAAGATGGAATTTTACTAAAATATGTCATGTGGTTTAAATTTCAAATTAGTTAAAAAGTATTTAGTCAAATGTATTTGGTACTAAGAGGACAACATTTTAATACTGGAATTTTTTAAGTCCAAAAGTTAGCTATGTTGACTTTGAAAACGAAGCTAAGGTGTGTCCTCACACGTTGACATACTTCCGAATTTGTCATCAAACACTTTGCGAAAAAAGTTAGAAATATTGTGTATTGTTTGGATTTGCACCACCACGAATATCACTCCCACTCCCAATCCCATCCTTAAAAAAAACCTACATTCACTAGAAATGCCAGTGTTTCTGACTGGTAGACTGTTCTGCACGTCTTTCTGTACATTGTCAATACCAAACAAAAGTTTGTTGGCTTTTGAAAACAGTCACTTGATACCCCACTTCATCAAAGGTCTATAATTCATTTATTTGTACAGTTTTATGAGTGTAAGGTAGTTAAGTTAATTGCTATGTCAACTGTTTGTAATCCAAGGTTAAACATGATTTACACATTAATAGTAAATGGATATTAGCGGGAAAATATTGGAAAAAAAACAACAATTATTTAGATTGAATAAGTGTTAACATTATAAAGAGAATTGTTCCACACACAATAAATCCGTCACCATCTGTTGCTTTTAATAGATATTATCCATGACTAAATTTATCTCTGTCTATTTTATAAGGATTTAATAAATATTTGAATTATGTTCCTTACAGGTTTGCTTTTATTAAATAGCCGTGCTAAATTTGTCTATTTTAAAGCATTTTCCTGGCTTCAAATGTTATGTAAATTATTATTTGGACATTTAATCACATAATAAACCCATAATCAATTCTTCATTTTCAACAATTGTTGTTAATAATAACTTCCAGAGTTATTCCTCTTTTTACAAAATTGTTTAACTCTTAACTTTTTGGACCATGTAGCTGCTGGAGGGCATATGTTTCGTTGCCTGGCAATCTACATTTGTGAAAGTTTATAATTTGTATTTAATTAGTGTGCCTAAATTTAATTTCATAGATCTGTTAATGTACAGCTAATTTGAAAGAACTAAATGATAGCTCTCTAGAGAAAAGGCTATTAGTAAAATTAATATTTGTCTGTTGCGCAATGATGAGTAATTATCATTAATACATGCAGGGGGGCAAAACACTTACATCTGAATCATGATTTATAGGTTACAGTGTTATTGTGCAACCTCTTTTTTAATGAATAAATTGGAACAGGAGACAGCTGTGGGAATTATGTTCATATTCTAGTTTCTTATCCAAGTAATTGAAAACCCCAGAAAAAATAAAAAAGGAAAATTTAACATATCAACAATACTTTTGCCCATTATGTGTGATGTGGGCATTTTCTCTATTGCTACATATTAAGATCTATATTTGAAACCTTTTTTTTTGGGGGGGGGGGTATTGAGCTAAAATTAAGCTATTCATCAATCACAGGGATTGTTATTGTTATAGATCTACTTCTGGTGACACTAAAATATTCAAACCAAATCTACAAGGGCACAATCTATTCTGCCTGAAAGAATGATTTCAGACTGTGTAATGATTAATAGGTGTAAATTATGGCATTTGTTTATGATATTAGAGTGATATAAATTGTAGTATATTCTGGGTTATTACTCATATTTTCATAAAATAACTTTCATTCTAGTCACGCTAAATATCTAGAGAATACCATATCAAAGTATGGTCAATCACATCTCCATTTATATGATTGAATTAAGGAGATCACCATGCATGCCAACATTCTATAATAACATTATGTTACAAACATTATTCAATCAGATCTGTCTATACAAATAGGATTTATATTGGGAAAGGCATAACGCCTGTATCTCTAGGGATAGTCAACCAAATTTCTATTCATATGTATGTATGGAATTCGTCCTTTTGACCATGTACATTAACATAGCAGATGGTCAATTCTATTTGGATACAAATATTAGCTATCAATTCAAACCTTGTCTTTCAATGATATACTGTGAATATTTTAGCTGTCTAAATTAATTGATGAGATATCTCCATCTGAAATCTTTTCTGGAAATAGGAGAGTCACATAAAATAGTAAATGTCATTACATAATTATAATTTATCTCCAATGGCTTATTCAAATTACTTGTTACTTAAAGATTCCCTTCAATCACCATTTTTGCTTTAAGCATATTTACAATATTGAAACAATTTATTTTTAAAAATAAAATTGAGATAAATCTGTATCATTTCTTATTATTTTATCAAATACTGTCTAGATTAGATATATCTGGGAATATATTGCCATAGGAGACAGTGTATCCCATCAAATTATTTGTTGTTGTTATCTTCTGAGTTCAGTTAAAGAGTAGAAAGAGTCCCCTGTGAATTTCAGAAACCTGATCAATGGCACTATCAAGTTGACCTCCATTAAATATTGTCCAATGTCATGTGAATGCTTGACAATACCTTGTAAACTACTATTAGTCAAAAATGGTTAAATTCCAATTGATATTTACAAAGAAATCACTTGAAACTTGTCAATATTTGGTAGCCTCCAAAGACTGTATAAACAGGAAATAATCAAAATAGGCCAATGGCGCTATAATCTTTGATAAGATATTTTGATGGGCCTATTGATATTTTGATTTTATTTTCTTATTAATTTAATGTTAAAACATCTATTTGAGTGAACAATTAGATGTTAAAAAAGTGGTCAGCAGCTACAAATACTAATTTAATTATCAGCATCATGTGTATATAGTCTCTTACATTTATGATTCAATATTGGGATGGCTATTTTCATCTATAAATACATAATAAAGTATTTTACTAACATGAAAATATAGTCAGATTGACTCAGATGAAGACAGAAAAGAACAAATTGTCCTTCCTATATGTATGGGATTGTCCACAATATTTCATGTTATTAATACTCTAAAATGCCACCGTTTGTTTCTCAGGATTTAACAAAGCTTGAAATAATCCTGTCACAATGAATTGGTATCTTATCTAATCAATAAATTTATCAATTAAAGCCATTAGTTCTGTTATCTTCTAATCGATCCTTTCTTTGCTTAAATCTATAAAAACTCTATTAACAGTAATAATAACAGTATTTGCCTTCTATGATTGCATGAATACTGATATTCACTATTGATATGATTGTGGACATCAAAATCAATAGTTTCTGTTTTAAAGCCCTCACCTCCTCCTTAAAAAAGAGATAAAAAGGCAAGAAAACTCCTTCCGGACCCTAACAGCTGCATATGTTGTTCCAGTCCGTCTTGATGACTCAAGGTAAAGTTTGAGTGGGGTTGAGTGGTCTAGCACTGGGTTTGAGTGGGTTTTCCTCGGGTCCACCAGTTTCCTCCAACACCTGTACGTTCTATTTAGTAAACCTTAACCCAAGTCCTCATATGATCTCAGCAGAGTATTTACAGGGATTAAAGATTCATTCATCCATTTTAGGAAAACAAAAGCACAGAAGGAAAAGGAAGAAAAACAGAAAGAAGAATTACAGGCACAACTTCAAAAAGAAGCAGACGCCATTGCTGCCGCAGAGAACTTACCATTTGTAACTCCAGCAGATCCAGTATTATTGGCTTATATTGATGAAGTCATGGAAAAAATACAACCTTTACCTTCATCACGTGAACAGGTTATAGCATTATCAGAGTAAGTTAGTCTTTATTTTACAATTTCATTTTATAGTATTATCAGAGTAAGTCAGTCTTTATTTTACAATATCATTTTATAGTATTATCAGAGTAAGTTAGTCTTTATTTCACATATCATATGTTATTGCATTATCAGAGTTTATTTTACAAATTCATGTGTCCATCTGCATTTCTGTCTTGCACTTAATGTTCCTTTTTAATATCCATTATCTATTCAAACTTTAGTAATATGGTTGGATGGGAAAATTCTTAAAAAGAACCCCCAGGGAAGGTTTTTAATACTAGATATCTAGAAATGTAAGGAAAAATTAATTGGCCTGATTGGGGAGGATAATGTTGTCTGGAATCCGACAAGTTCTAAAAATACTATTGTACCCTTAATAGTTCTATTTGTTGAGAAGGGGAAACTTTTTACTAACTTAGATGTCCAAAGATATATTTAATATGATTTATACTAATGATAAAATAAAGAGGTACTTATGAGTGGAAAGTTTATGATGGAGTATCTTTATATCAAATGTAGAAACTAGAGCATGCTAACTAGAAACCTAATTAGATGCTTCTAGCCACTTTCTCATTATTATTAGTGATATATAAAACATTAAAGGCGAGGCTGCAAAAAACCTACTGATAAATATTTTATAACGTCAAAAGCTCTTTTTAGTAGAAATCTTTTAAATACTGAACACGCAGACGGTTACTTAAAATTGTCACCATGTAGGTCACCTGTACGATTACCATACTGTTCATTTTATTTTTTAGATTTGTTTCGGATAAATTAGGAGGATCTATAGATCGTGGTCAAGTGTCAAGTTTTAGTTGGGAGTTACCTGTCAGTCAAGTTAGATATGAATTAAAATCTAATGTGATACCCATTGGTCGTCTTAAAACTGGTATTCATATACATAGAGCTTTGTTGTTTAAGGTGAGTAATACTCATTCTTCTGGGCAAATTTCATCAGATATAAACGACAATGACTGAATTTTGTAATGACACTACATTATACACCAAAAAGTGTGGTTAAATCTTTGTAGCAACTTACTAATGAATATCTTTGTAATGCATTTAAATTCCATTAGAAGTTGGTATGTTAAGCATCGGTATGTTTGGCTTCATATTCTAAAGTTTAGATCATGTAGTAGGGGCTAAATTGCGCCAAAAAGTTTGTTACAACTTTTGACAGTTTTTTTTCCTTACCACAGTACTCCATACCATACTATCAGAAGAGATGTATCGGGGCCATGGACTATATTACTATAGCTAAAAGTGCTATAGTCCCATGGCTATAGATTACTATATGGATTACGTTGTAACTGTCTTTGAAACCCACATCTCGATAGATTACTACATCCATCACCAGAAGATCCTGTAACAGGTTGCTGATCACCTCCTTGAGATCCCATAGTTCTATACTGACTATGCCCTATGTGATATAAAATTACCCCACCTTCTGCCTATTGTATATTTAATATAACATCTTGTAAATATATATCTTTATATATTGTAGGTTTTAGCTGATCGTATAGCATTGAGTTGTACTCTAGTACGTGGACAATATAATCGGGCATGGAATGAAGTTATGTTATATGATATAGATGATAATGTAAGTATTAAATACTTGTATACACTTACATACAAATCTTACAATTGCAATTTGCTTTGCCTAAGCCTCCCGAATTGGTTCATTGTTTCATGAAATGACCGACCGTTACAGATAGTCAAATGTGGCCTGTTCTTTTATTTTCCCAATATATCTATTGAACATGGGTACTTCCAGAAATGTTTTGCTTGGAAACGTTTGAGGATGATGATAAATACCCCATGTGATTTCATGGTATAAATTTATACAAGTCATGGAAATGCCTCTGATTCCCGATCCGTTGTCATTATCTTGTAGTCCAGGTTTTGCTGACTTTCCAGTTTTGACAACCATCAACTGATAATTCAGAGTAGTGAAACAGAAGAAGCCTCACCCTGAACATTCGAGCGATGTAAAGTCCCCCGGGCAGGGTCTCTTCTTTTTCTTTTTTTTTTTGAAATCCTTCCATATGTATAGTTTCGCTGTTAGATGGATTCAGACAAATTGATGAGATGGGTAGGTAGACTTGGTGATCACTGTGTTTACAGTGTACTTTTATAATGTACAGCTTATTATGATGTAATATTTATTTCTATTTCCAGCCCACATCTCCAAAATTTCCACCAAAAGAGTATATCGTAGACTTGATTCACCAGCCTGGAACATTACTACCCGTTGATACACCCAATGCCGTGTCTTATCAAAAAATATAAACTTACCATTACACCATTTCACGCATAGCTAATGTTAATTTTTATATGATAAAATGTCCCGTTATATATGAAGTTTCAATGCCTTAAAAGTTATAGTATTTAAAATGTATGATTTTAAAGTTGATTAGATAATTCTGTACAAGAATACCAATAAACTGTACAATAAATGAAAACTCTACTATTCTCAGCACTGTCCAATTCAGTTTTATTCCAATCTAATACTGGATTTATAATGTCGGTTTGTTGTTACCCGTAAACGCTTGACTGCGACTCCCGAATTTTATTGGTGAAACTATGGATTTTTAGTCAGTAAATCGGAAAGCTTCAAGAAAGCTTCAAAAATCGACATCTGTAAGCCTCGCATAATGTTTTTGAATTTACACCAATATGGAATTAAAACGATTACAAGGAATCAACCCCATTAAACAGCATTATTATAAATGTCAAAATGTTATATTTTACTATAGGATGATTTTATATTTATAAAGACTTGAAATATTGGTGTAAATAAAGGTATTTGTGTGATAATATTAGTTACTGTTTGTACATTTCATACTGTACATATTGTCTTGAAAGTTGTATATTATTATTATCTCTTAATATTTATTATTAAAGATACATTGTCCTGAAAGTATTTATCGAGTGGTTATTTCCAATAAAAGTATGACACAATTTGGTATATATGGAATGTATAGACACCCAATCTTATTAGAAAAATACTAGATTACCCAAAAAACACCAATGGAGCAAGCACTGGGCAAACATGTTAAGGTATTACTTACTGGCAACCCGACTGTTACCTGTGTTAACTTGACTGAGGAAGCAGTTGTTATTTCTTGATCAAAGGGTTAGGTGATTCTGGGACCATTGAGGGCTGTCAACGTACAAAGGACGCTGCAATTAAACGGCGGAAAAAGAAGTTGAAAGAAAATAATTAAAAATTTACTTACGCCTCAATATGTATGTTAAATGGACATTCTGAAAAATAGACCCTCCCCCCCAACGAAGTGACGTTACAGACATGGCGTCAAACAACAGTTTATTTATAGCTTGAGGTATCTCGCCGCGAAAACATAGTTTTGAGAGGTATTTGAAGCAAATTTTTGATGGATTAATCAGTGTGAATATATTTTTCGTCCAAATATATCATCAAATTACTCAGTTTATCCGCTAGTAAATATCTTTAAATTCACCCAACTCTTAAAGTTAGTGATACCCCTATATATTATCCATTATGCAACTTTAAGCCACATTTCATGTGGTTGTTAGTCATCACCTCTTTCAGTTCATCCACTCGTCTGTCGGACCACCATTCTTTCAATTTCTTTAAGATCATGAGAAGGACAAGTATCTAAATTAACAATCATGCAATGATTTATCCCATGAGTTATTGAACCATGTTACCGAAACCTTGTAAAATATTTATCAGTTAGGTCGTTATAAGGAGCAACCCTATCGAATGTCAGATTCTTACATCATTTTTCAGAGTTATTGCCCCTGTCAGATAAAGCTTGGCAACACCCTATAGATTAAAGTTTTTGAAATTTCTGGCATTATTCGGCTGGGCGTAAGGAGGTATTAGAAGCAACCTCCGTATGAATAAACAGAACCAAATAGCTGCTTTTCTCTTGATGCCGGTCCACAAGGGAGCCAGTCAAATCTTGGCTTCTACCGACAGAAATTTCAGCATTTTCCAAGGTCTATTCGCGCCTATCCGGTGTAATGTCTGTGGGTCTGGCAAAAACACTGCAGATGAGACGAAAAACCCAGGCCCACCCATGCACACGTTTGCGTGAATGTAAAAGTATTGTATTGACAAGACGTTTAACACCACCCCTGTTCATTCCTACCAGCGAGTGTCGGGATCGCGTCGCTAAACCTAATTGATTGAACATGTGCATCCGATATCCGACTGCGTCTGTTGGCCGAATGGTTTCACAAGTCGAGTGACATAGTTTCGATGCCAAGGAGTAGTGTCGCCTGTCCAACCCCACGGGTTTTCTCCGGGTCTTCCAGCCCCCCCGCCTGCACGTTACAGACCGCTACTGGCAAGCGAATTATTGAGATAATTATCATTATGTTAGTCTCGAAATGATCTAGTTGTTATCGAGTGGACGTTTAACTCTCTCTCTCTCTCCCTCTCCCTCTCTCTCTCTCTCATTGGGATTTCACGGTGTCGGCCAGTCGTAATTGGAATGAAATGGGGGTTAACGTCCCAGGATTAACCATTTAGTCACTGATCAAGTTGTTATATCTAAACACGCTCTATAACTTTCAAGATCACATAGTGTAGGTGTGGTACTTTCACTTTGAAATATAACAAGTCGCAAGAAGTTTAAGGTTTTTAATTTTTTAAAAAAATGTATACAACAAAAATATATATACACAAAGATAAAGAAGGCATAAGATGAATGAATAATAGATGACTAGTATTACTTCACTTTAAAAAACCCCATTAAAACAATAACAATTTTAATATTATTATATATACAGTAAGATAAAGAAGGTAAAAGATAGTACATGAATAATTATACATGAATAATTACACAAAAATATCATTTTAAAAATTGTTATGGGTTCGTAAATAAAGCTGCCGAGAAAAATCTATAATGCCTCCCTTTTTATCAACTTTGTTGGGTCACTAATGATAAAAGGTAGATGAACAATGCAAATACACTTCACTGCATTCGAAACACGTTTGTATATTAAGAATCAGCACAACTCTTTGTGAGATGGGATTAGTTCACGAAAATATGCCACCTTAATGAAAGAAAAAAAATGGTTTTACTTAGGTTGAAATATCATCACTCGGGGAAAGATATTTAATTATGGGGCGATTCTGCAGTGATTTGTCCCCGCCCAGTGGAATAATTATTTCAATAAGTGCATAAACTTTAAATGTTTAAGTAAGGCGTTGCATAACGTCTATAACTTAAACACTTATAATATCGAATTTGCGAAGGAAATACCTTTATTGTCAAAGATTCAATATAGAGTCATGAAACATTATATTAATTAAAACTCACCAACACATTTTTGATTAAGCACTTTACAAGTTTAGGAAGTAAATACTGAAGTAAATAAAATCTGGCTTTTTTGTTTCACTATGTTCAACTATTCAACTACAATTATTTACATAAACCATACATACAAACAAACATACAGTCATAGGACGCCTAATATCTGTTAAATATGTGCAAATATATGACATGAAAATGTTTATTTTGGCCCGGGAGATATAATCCCATCTATTGTAAAACATGTCAGATCCTTAGATATGTTATTATCGGAACGGTTTCGTAGTAATAACACCAATCCGTTTGCGTCTTCAAAATAATAGATGCCATTAAATTGGAACGGATTGGAATTGTGTTCCGTGGCTCAGATTCCAGAGCTGAAACCCAACTGTGAGATGGTCCCAAACATCAAACACTCAATGACGTGACAGTGATCACAATAAAAGTTGACACAATTTCTGATTTAACACACAGCATTATGTTTTTTTATGCTTTTGTGCAAAAAACAGGCATAACACCCACGGACATTTACAAATCATCATACAGTACACGATAATAAATGACACCATTTTATCATTCCATAGTTTTATCGTTGCGAAGAATTATTGCCAGGTGAAGTCACTCTTGAGCCAACTTATGGCTACCAACTCTATAAAAAGTTTTCCTTTTCTTTTGGCTTGGCTTGCGGCTTTCCCTACAATAGACAAAAAAAGTCTCATTGATAATGTGGCATGCATGGTTAATGTGACTCCTATTGAAGATTATAATACGAACTCCAACCCTAAACCTTAATAAGGTAGTCAAGTCAACCATGATCGCGGATAATATGTGATTTCAGATCGAAGATTCTAGGAAAGGTCATAAATAAGTAAACAATATTTTCGGAGTCCCTGTCGAAATTCATATTTAAACACCAATTTTTTTACCGAGTAATTGACCTTACCATTGAAATTTTGTAAATTCTAAAAACACCAGTTATTATTCCTGTGAATTACTGCAGCACTCTTCATGTTGGCTACATTTGGGTATACAACAAATTTGTTGATGGTTGTACTTTTAGTTGGTTGTCAGGTACTGTGATACTATAATCTTAACCCGATTATTGCACCCAAATTGTATATTAAATGCACGTTTCTAAGCAATATTAAAATATCATTTTAATAGGGTCTATATTGTTCATAACAGATCTCAACTAAATATTTTTTTCTCTCAGATACCGTCATGATTGTCAATGCGTGCGTGGTGACAAATCACCAAAAAAGTCCAATTGGCAATTAATTTTGTTTTGCACACTTCCGTGTGCATTCTTAATATATATATGTGTTAGCTACTGAATTCTACTTACTAATTTAGCTGCATTTATTATCATATGTGCTAAATATTCTCCTAAACAAACTAAAGCCGCTATACATATTCCTCCCACTAATATAAAAAATACACCGGCTACATTATCTATCTGTAACTCAGATGTTTCATCAGATGAAGACTTGGATAAATCTGGACAATTCCTTGAACCCCACCATCTAAAACAGACAAGAATACACATATACAGAGGGAATTGAACAATGAAAGCTTTGATTTCCGCATTTCGTTTATATTTCAGCTATGATTTCAATTATGTGCTAGCTTCCTAAACATTTGAAAGTCGATGAATTGAATGTACCGATGCATTGAAATGGCGTACACAATGTTGAAATCTTATAATTACGTTCACCCGTAACTCTAACAGCACCATTAGAAAGGATGATAGAATAACATGTACCAGTACTAATGGTTCAGGGCGTACTTAAAGAGGCATTATGGAAGATTAGATATGAATAGATAATATAACGGGAATATGTTGAAAATTTCAGTCAAATTACTTCACTCTGAACCGCAAAAACCTCATTTTAACAACATTATAGCATCGATTGTCATTGTTACCGTTCTTAAGATAATAAACAAAGTCTTGATTATCCATTTTTATGGTTAATCATCAACGGCCGTTAAACAACAGATCTGATTCAAATCTGTTGAAAATTGGAGGCATCCGATGGCATCGAGAGTTGATTATGGTGTTGTCATGTTAATAAATGTCTAATTAATAGTTTATATAACATTTAAGGCCCAGCGAAAGACCTGCAATAGACAGATTTAGCTCTTAAATAATGTATGTTTAAGACAGAAACGGTCAACTGATAAGGAAATAGTGTAGAACTAGAAATGGGGATTTTGTAGCACCATAGGTCCTTTGTCTGACGTGGAGAGCGGACACAGTACTAAAACCGGTCGCCACATCTTACGTACGACCCATGAATCTTTTCTTACTACATATTTCTGTAGCCTTGTGATCGTCTAGAATTTGTCTCTAGCTGTCTTTACTTCTGCTTCACGTTGTGTATTTACTTCTTCCAGTTTCTTAAGACGTTTGTCTTACCAGGAATAATAATGCATAGTTCGCTTCTACATTTTATATAGCATATAACTGAATACAGGTATACAAGCATAGCACAAATTACAATACTATATAGCTAAAACCACTTCTCCACCCTATCCAGCCTCTCGGCTTTCTAGGAACTCAGATGTACCCTCGATCTCTGGAATCTAATGCAAGTCTGCCTTAAAACTTTACTATGATTTATTTTATAAGACTCCTGCAGATCACGCACAGAAAGCCTGTTCATGGCCCTGAACCTGTGCAATTAACGATATGATTGGTTACTTTAAACCAAATGATGCAATTAGAATAATTCCACTCACGTGTAATTCTGGTGGTAAATGAGTGACATATGTTTTCGATAAATAGCTCTTTTTTATGTGTCAACTGTCAATTACAGACTAAGTTGATTTAAGTATTTTAAGTACATATCACATATTATGCGAATATGTTATTTCTCGAGCAAAAATTCTACTAAAAGTATTACAATTCTAGTTAAACAAACATAATTGATTTACTTACTTGTTTTCTAGCTCATGTAGCTTTCCAGTATCACTTAATCTCAATATAGCCATAGACAATTCTTCCCGATAGGTTGCACCAGGAGGGACACCAATACCAAAACCTTTAGGGTCAAAGGGTGGACCAATTTCCATGACATTACAGTCTTTAATAGTTTTGTACCTATTTACAGTTGTGTCCCAGAAGAACGCATAATCTTCATTTTTAACTTTTTCATAGCCAACAGTCGTATTTTGAACCAGAGAATCTGGTTCAATTTCTGACATTTGAGCCCACATTTTAGAAAAATGTTCAATATTTGTGTTCTTAAAAAACGTCATAACCCCGCTATCAGCCACAGTTCCGTATTTTATTTTCGTCTGCTGAGCCAAGTCTGTGACAGATTTAATAGGAGTGTTGATTTTCTTCACAGTCAGAAAAGCAGCTAAGTTCGCAGTGTAGGAGGAAATTAGAATCAACGCAAAGAACCACCAAGCACTGGTCAAGATCCGACCCGGCACCGTAGAAGGAGATGCATCAGTGTTTCCTTGTAACAGAGACCCGAATATAAACCAGAAACTTTCTCGCATAGAAATTTTAGCAGGATTTTTGGCTTTGAGTCCTATTCGTTCCAAACCGTACAGAACGATGCTGACTACTAAGAAGGCACCAAGCGTACAGATCCAGACTATGGGCGACAGAGGATTCAGGAATTCAAAATACGACGTTTCCCTTCTTGGTATTCGCAACAAAACGGTGATGTATCTAGTCATGAAAGGTTTGGTGAAGTCAACAGCCTCTTCTCTTTGTGAATTTATACTTAGTGGTGCTACGGACATAGATGCATTCTGAAACAAAATGTAACATATTTATTGAAACTTTATTAAAATGACTATAGAGTCACAATAAACTATAACCCAAAGACAAATTCCTCTACTGAGATGTTCACCCTTACCTGAGAATTATCTCATTTGATAAATGCTATTTCAAAAAGCTTTGGTAGTTTTATAACAGTTACATTAAATTTAACATCCTGGAGAGATTTTGTTATTGTAGGAAAATCTTCTTGCACTTACAATTAAGACGACTTAATATCTGTCCTGTTTTATTAGTAAACTTTATTTCTATGAAAATCCATACAGAAAATGATCTGGTGACATATTGGTCTACAGCATACTTTCATCTAGACCTGCTCAGGCTAGGTCAGTGATATTCTGTTTCCAATCGCGGATCCACAATTCTCCATACAAGTGGGAAAATTTATTCAGAAAGGTCACATTTGCATCCGCTGTACCATCAAAATCGGGCCTTCATCTTGTTATTGAATATTTTTTTATGTTTCAAATACAAATCGACATTTAAATAAATAAATTTCCTGTGGGGTAGGGGAGACTCTTGTTTTTACACATCATGATTATAGGTTTTAACGTACCCCAGCAAGAAGTTCTCCAATCATACCATTCCAGCTACCATCGGCCAATCGACTTCCAAACTTTCTATCATGAACGAGATAAAGTTCATACTTAAATTGAAGCTTTTTAGCAATTGCCTCAATCAGATCAACAGCAAAACCTTCAAACTTATCAATACCCCTTTTAGATTCATGATCTCTTTTCAGCATCGTAAATGGTCGCTCCTGAAAAGAACAAAGGCTCTATATGATTTACCAGAATCAGTACATAGACTGATTAGAACAAGATGATTTGAACTGAACAATATTTGAATAAATGGGAACATTATCATTTCAAATAACATCGTTAAAATAAACATGCACGTTTGGCTGATTTATTGGTTTATTCGATGAGACCAATACATTTCCTAAATATATACCAGATTCTTGAAGATTGAAGATTTCAATACTCAAAACATGTCTATTGGCGGGTAATGCTTGACGCTTACCAATATTGTGACAACTCGAACTGTTCTATCACGTAAAGGGAACGGTATAGTTCTATTAGGGTCGATGCTATCTGGAAATAGTTGTAACGTTGTCTCAAACTCTTCAGGATTAGATTTCCATATTCCTTTCTGAAATAAAAACAGTAATGCATTATAAGAGAAATATCGAAACGACTCCATAATCCTGTCAGACGTGGAAAGCGGGCCTTCGACACCCCGATCGCCACATTCGGTGTATGACCCATGTACTCTTTTCTTACCACCCTTGATCGTCTAGTATTTGTGATTCTCTTCACTGGCTAGGACTCACGTTGTGTATTTTCTTATCTCGGCTGTTAAGACGGATGTCTTATCAATAGTTAAGACATTTGTCTTACCAGAAATAACAATGCATCAGTTCAGTTCTACATGTTATATCAAGCTTAATACACATGGTTACACTGCATAATACATTACATTAGCATACTTTAACATACATTATGCAAGAGCTAAATCTGTCCATTGCAGGTCTTTCTAAATTATTTCAACCGATAAAGAAAGAAACATAAAATACCAAGAAATATGATGGTCCAGTTATGGCAGTTAAATTAATTTGAATGTTACTTCTTTTCCCTTCTGCATTCAATCTTAGATCACCAGTCGATCCAGTCAACTTGTTCTGAAAATACAAAAGAAATTGAAATGAAATTGGGTTTAATGTCCTACTGTTCTGCTCAGACTAGGCCAATGAAGACGGGCTTACGCCATACAGTGTGCTATGAGGTAATTTTGCCTGAACAGCGGCGCTACGGCCAGGGGATCTTTTACGTGCACTTCAATGTGTTTTTCCTAACCATCCGAATGACTAGACAGCTGTCCGTCCTGCACCACTGACAAGGGGAAACCACACCGAAAATTCTCGATGAACTTTCTCGGCCAGCGTCTTACCCACTTAGCCACCGTGGCTCCATAAGACAATACACTTTTCTGGAGGTTTGCGGTTTTCAGATTTCAGAGTGACATATTGTTTGAGTAGTGGCAAATCTTAAATCGAACGAAAGACAGCCGAGAGCTTGCAGTGTCACTAACGGGTTCAGTGCAGAGACCCAGAGGTGTTTAGGGATGATTTTAAAAATGTTACTGATGCTTAAATTTGGGCTTTATTTGGACAATATAAAGATGTCACAGACATAATACGGTATTAGGGTGGAGAATTCACATCCCTATTCTCTATCATTTATCTCTATTAAAGCAATACCTTTTTAATTTTTCCAATAAATGATTTTCTCTGCTTTCTTTTTTCTAATTTATTTTTTGGATTCAGTGTTTTTCTGGTTTCGTCTAGAAGTATGAAGGCGTCTGCCATAAGGGCAAATGTCATTCTATCGTGATCTGGTGCATAGCTATTATTAAAGGAATCAAACTCCAAAACGTTAAATACAGTAAAATTGACGGCTATCTCTTGATATTTGGTTAATAGATTACTGAATTGGTCCCCCTGTCAATATAGAAAATAAATACATAAATATATAAAAGAGAATTGTCCTATGGTATTGAAACAAACTGTATTTATATGGATTAATTAATTGTAATTAAGATATATTTGAAATATGGATTTACTATACATTTTCTATACTTTTATAGATGTTTGAATTAATATATTAAACATATTTTAAAATAATTATAATCTATTGCTGATTTTAATCAATAATTAATAAGCAGGGCTTTGCAAAAAACAACACAATTGCAGCCAACGAATACACTCTAACGTAAAATCTTTTAAAAACAGAATATATTTGATTAAATATCAAAAGTTGGCTATTGTTGTCTTTGGCTATATAATAAATGAATTAATAATGGTCATAATTAGTTCGACATGGCAACAAAAAGGCAACAAGGAAGAAACAATTTGCACAGATTAATATCAAATTATGGCCGATCCTCTAAAAGCTGAAAAAAAATAAAACAAAATGAAATAAAATAAAATAAAATAAAATAAAATAATAAAATAAAATAAAATAAAATAAAATAAAATAAAATAAAATAAAATAAAATAAAATAAAAATATAAAATAAAATAAAATAAAATAAAATAAAAAATAGATTAATAAATAAATAAGTTTGTGGTAGATATACCCCCCTCCCCGGCTTAAAAAACAAAACAAACAAGAACCACTTCTACTTCTTCATTCCGATATACATCAACTCACAAGCTAGCTGTCTGCCATTACAATACATAATAATTATACATAAGCCATACAATTTTGTACATAAATAGAATAATATAATACCATGAAAATGGATTCATATCATTCTAATAACTTAGCATTATGATTACATTTTTCTCTTACCGGTTCATAGATTATCCATTCATAAAATATTCTATCATTCGGGCCTGTTCCCTATAAAAATAATTAACATACAACAGAACCAAACCAAACCAAAACAACAACAAAAGATATAAATCTAATTAATACAAGATCAACAAACAAACAAACAAACAAATGGAAACCTAGATAGTATAATAAAACGTTATCTCACCGGATCGTTGAACATCCATTGATACGGTGATGTAGACAGCATCGCCAGGTCTCTCGCCTGAAAATAGCAAAAGATGAAGTCCAACCCAAGAACGCCTTTGGAAATGTTTTATTGATGATTTTAACAGAGTTGCGGTTTGGTCTTTCTAAATAAATGAACTTTGCAATAAAGATCCTAATGATTGTGACGTTAATATTGGATCATCTATTTCTGTGTCAGTGCACTCACTGTATGATATAATGCTTTCAAGAGAACAAAAAGAAACTTGAATTGAACAATAACCGATACACCGGGGATCCAAATTCTGCACAATAAAATAAAGATGATAGCAATTCCTGATAGTTAATTCTTCCTTGAATATTGGACGTCACGCTTCTATCAGGTAGTGGTCTAACACCATAATGCTTCCATTTATCATTAATAACACACACGAACTTCAATTCTAGAGACTTATTGTGTTTAGTAGCCAGTAAAACTAATATAATATATGCCATTGTGGTCAAATTACCCTAAATATCAGTAGGGTATTATAAATCACGATGGACAATTTAATTGGTTAACAACCGCTATTATACGTTCCCGACACAGGACCGAAAAATATACCATTATGTCTGCAATTCAAATGTCTACCAATCACTTAATATAAACTCTATTCCAATCTCCATCACATGTTTTGTGTTTGGCAGATTGAATTTTGTGTCCTAATTTAGGAAACGTATTAAATTAAAAATCAATTTGTGAAGCTATAGCTATATGATTTGAAAGCATCTTCTTAATTTTTCTGTGGTAACAAAATCATTAGCAATAGAGCTGTCATAAAAAATATCAATAACTCACAAACGAGTTACTTTCTACAGCCAAAAGAACACATTTTTGAAAGGGTCAATGGGAAATCAGATTATAGGACAAATTTCTTTCAAAATGCAATTTTCTGACCAGAATACAAGATCCAACCATTCCAATATTTTTCGTCTTTTGGCCAATAACTGGCAAGTGAGCATGTTTCAATGGTCTTATTTCATGTCAATATTGCTATGTTTATGTTTCGCAACTTTATATTATTTACACTTACATACTTTTAGACGTTAAACGTCATCAGTTTTTGTGACGTATGACATGAAGCGCACGCCATAAAAGTGTGTCCGACGGATAGCAGGCCCATAACTGTAAGTTCACAAAACTTAGCTAAACCTTATTTAATTTCTATAATCTAGTCCATATTTTTTTTCGAAATCGTGGTTTTCACGAACTAGATCAACAGAGAAGACCTTCTCCTAAGAGACAAAACATGTGCTGAGACAAAACATATGCGTGCTTTACTAATCTCATCTAACAATCTATCTGTGATGAAGACCTATCGAGATCGTGGACCATGTTTATGTCGCCACCTACTAAGTGTAACTGTAGGTGTGAATTTAGCGGAAAGTCATAATTTACCGTTCCACTTACACTTATTTAAATGTAATATTTACCCCACCCCATCCCACCCCAATCAAAACTATCTTTCATCTTGTACGGGTAGGGCCAAGGGCATTCAATTACCTCAGTAAGTAAATGATTTATATTTTCTTTATTTTCACAGAAGACGATGCTGGTTTCTACCAAAAACTTTCTCATTTTAACCAGAGCTTCCCGTACTTCAGATCGTGTAGCTGGTACTTGAAGCTTCCAGGCTCGAACAACAAACATGTGATTAGTTGTAAGTTTTTCTAACAGCTCTACACCTGTATCAATAAAAAGTTTAACACGTCTGTTCTATGTATTTATATATGTGGGACCTTGTGTAAGTGGTTTTTAGAAGTTGCTTACTTAATATAATAACTAACACTAGACATGGGTGTATATGTACTCCTTAAAGATGGCTTAAAGCTAACAAAAATGCGAGATACAATCTTGCAGAAATATTCCACCCAATCAAACTAAAAAACAAGGTACGGAAATGTCAACTTGTGGTAATATATTTATGGTTAATTCTGTGAAGTAGTATTCCTTGCCGCCATATTTGTTAAAATATGGCTACCATTCATATTCGTAAATTCAAATAAGAAATCTTTGTAAAAAGTATTTAAATATTAGTATTTTATGAATTGTAGGTTTTCTTAAACCTGTATATGAATTGTAGGTTTTCTTAAACCTGTTTAAATAAAACAAGGTTTATGGAGTTGATTTGCAGACGACAAGATAACCGATATTAGACTAAGAATTAATAAGGCTACCTGCATCACTATCATAGAATACACTAATCTTGGTCCATTTGTTTTTGATAACCAACGCCAACAGAGCTCTACAATAATCAGCTACACTTGGAATCATTTGTACCATAAATTCTGTACTTTTGCGGGAAACTGGAGTTGTTGCCATGTAGACGACACCGACTGATTCTGTTGCTATAGCTACAGTTTCGTCGTATGGGCCAATCACAGCGTGGATATTTTGACTTTTGAGTTTGGAATGAACTGAAATATAAAGTGGATAGATAACGATCTTTTGATGGAAGCCTGTCACGGAATAGGGTTATAAAAATACGGAATAGCCAAAACAACAGGTATCACGGGAAAGGTGACTAAGCTTGTCCGTGACTGATTGCCTTTTCACAGTATTGTTTACCACATCCAACATACTGTAATGTTCTTATCTTCAGCAAAGTCTCACCTTTGCTATTGGTGGTACATTTAGTATTTGCTACCACTGTTAGAATATAGGATCAACACTGATTTCACATCCAGCCGGATATTAGTATGTTCACAGATGTATCTGATTAACCACTGTTTCCCATGGCAGTTTTTGAAATTGCCTATTGGGTTAGTAAGCCAAACATTTCAATAATTTGGCCCATATCCAGGGACGGATCCAGGAATGTTTGCAGGAGGGGTTAGCCAGGTTCATGAAACAATGTATCATTTGGGAGGTCCGTGTGGGTTCTCTCTGGCTGCGGCCTTGAAAATATTTGAGAAATACATGGTTTCTATTTTGGCGTATATCTGGGGTAACCAGAGGCACTTTGACAAAACACAGAAACTGGAATTTTACATAATAACATACTAAATACATGTACCTACTACGCTACGTTTTAGTTTTATTGATATGCAATAAAATCAGTTCTGTACAATCTTGACAGACAACTTTAAGGAAGCAAAATAGAAAAACATCCACTGTAAAGGAGAGAGAGAGAGAAATGGGGTTTAACGTCCACTCGACACAAACTAGGTCATTTCGGGACTAACATATGGTTTAATTTTATTTCAATAATTCGCTTGTGCATAGGGGTCTTTAGCAGTGGGAGGAAACCGGAGGACCCGGAAAAAACCCACGAGGTTGGAAGGCGACCCTACTCCTTGTCACGTACAACCGGGGATTTGAAACCACGCCAGTCAACTCAATGACAGACTTTATGATACAGCGCGCGCACGCTAACCATTCAGCCATCCAACCCCCCTCCACTGTAAAGGAAATTTGGCAGTTGACAATGCATGATGCCATCATCGTCTTCAAATTAAGTAGCTTAAGGCATACATAGACACAGCTGTTTAAAAAGAGAAATCCAACACCCGTTTGATGTCAATTTTTTATTATAAACTGATACGATCACATTGGGATTCAATCACATTGATTCAAAGCATTAGTTGTGATATCACATATCATTATCTCGCGCTTTGAATGCCCATCCATCTCATCATCTGATGATAAAGGATAAAGCACACGACCCTGACAATTTTCTATTAAAAAGTGCGTTTTTACATTTTTTTATGTAGCTGAGCGGGGAGGGTGGTGTGTGCCCCCAACCCCCTGGATCCGTCCCTGATAACAGCATACTCAAATCATCTAGAATTAATTGACCTAGTTTCCAGGGAATATTCATACCCCGGAACGCACCCGCTAGCCATAATTATGGTCTGGTGAAAAAGAAACCTGTGTCCACCACCCAACGCCCTCCCAGCATGGTAGGATACGTTATATTGTATTTGCACATACATGCACATCAAACTGGTCGTCCGTTGATTCGGTATCGTTTATAGACTACTTACCTGTCTCTATTCTATCATAGAATGTTTCGCCTGTCAACTTAAAATCATATATTAAGTCGAGATTGAGATCTGGTAGAATTTTACGAACGGCTTGTACTATATGAATAGACTGGGGCAGGACACCTGAAAAAATAAATGGCATGAACTGCTATGAGTAGTTGAACATTAGGCTTTATTACAAAAGAAATATTACAAACTAGACTTTACATACATACAGAAGACTTTTGAAATATCGTGGTATAAATTATATAATTTACTGAAAGAGGTTCATAGTGTAATATTACCATAATTCTGTACCTGTTTCGTTTTATGTTGTTTACCCTAACACTACAATACGATCTAACAACATGTAAGAAGTTTGTTTTAACCTGATCTCATGGCCCGACATTTCATCTAGCCAATAAATTTGGCTTAGGCAAGCATTAAAGTAACCAACAAAGTGGCTAAATCCAGCCAAAAAGGCAACAAAATGGTTACTGAAGTAAAATTGGAATGACACAAAGATCACGTTCGTAATAGATTGTTCGTGCTATATATCTAGTCCAACATAAACGAGAGATGTTTTCAAGAATTAAAAAACGCGAAATACTAGGCGTTATGTACATTTTCTATCTGAGATACAGTCAGTATTAAGGTCACACTTTCAATGTTGGTTCTACATGGTAAAACGAGTTCTAAAAGAGGTACATCATTAGGAAAAAGGTCAAACCTCACCATGTAAAATTACACACATGACCTCAATTACACTAACAATAATTAATATATAAGTTGCAAATGTATTTTTAACTGTTAGTCGACCGAGAATATATAGTAAACGATAAAACAACATAAGCAACAATAACAAAAAGCTTTGATACACCTGCTGTCCAAAAGAAACTAGTCTAGGCTTTCTGGTGTAAAATAAATGTATTATAGCAAGGTAAAATCGACCTTTTAGGCGGCAGATCAACAGTACTAGGCCAGTACGACACTCCAATACTAAAGGAATACATATTATATACTATTAAAAAAAAGTAGGGGATATTTGATTTTTAAGTGTTATTAAAGTCACCTAATGAAACTGACGAAGAAAGAAATGACAAAATGAAATGAAGTTCACATTCATCGATTTATTCCAAATGATCGTTAGACTAAGTAAGGCAAAGACTGACCATTATAAGGGTAAAATGATACCCGGGGTCAAACAGCAAAGTTACCACAGCATCACAACCAAGTCAGTAACGGGTAAATCCTCCTCTGTTTGCCAAACAAGCATTGATCCGACGTGGCATACTCCTAATGAGACGTCTAAGGTCATTTTGGTCCAGATTGTCCCATTCCTGTTGCAACGCAGCAGCAAGTTCTTGGACATTGGCAGGACGTTGTTGACGTTGACGTAACCTCTGTCCAAGCATGTCCCAGACATGCTCGATGGGGGAGAGGTCGGAACTCAGTGCTGGCCAAGGTAATGTGGTGATGTTCTGTTGTTGGAGGTAACCTGTAACGATCCTGGCCCTGTGACATCTTGCGTTGTCATCCTGGAAGATGAAACGGCGGCCATGACGTCGTGCGAACGGCACAACATGGACTGCCAAGATGTTGTCCCGGTAGTACTGGCCTGTAACACGCCCTGCAACAACATGTAAAGCCGTTCTTCCAGCAACAGTGATGCCTCCCCACACCATAACAGAACCACCCCCAAATCGATCATGTCTGATGACGTTAACGTCTTGGAAGCGCTCGTTTCGACGACGCCACACCCTCCTACGTCTGTCCAAAAAATCAACAGTGAACCTTGACTCATCTGAAAACATCACATTGCTCCAGCGTCGATTATCCCAGTGTTGACGATCCCTACACCAACGACGTCTTGCCTGAATGTGATGATCTCTCAAACAAGGGATCACGCGAGGACGTCGGGCGCGAAGGTGACCCCTATGCAGTCGATTCCGAATCGTCTGGCCACTCACTCTCACACCAGTGTCTGTTTGAAGACGAGCGCTGATCTGATTTGCTGTGATGACACGATTTCTCAAGGCCAAGGTACGGATAAATCGATCCTGGGCTTGAGTTGTCGCCCTTGGTCGACCTGAGCGTGGTCTGTCCTGTACAGATTGTGTATCACGGTATCTGGACCATAGCCTGCTTATGACAGACTGAGAAACATTCATCGTCCGCGCCACAACCGCCTGTGTTGTGCCGATCTGTAGCATGCCAAGGGCACGTAACCTTTCATTTTGGGTAAGCCGACGCATATCAAAATTTGTTTTCTGGTCACTAAAACAATTAAACTGATGTTTCCACCCTGGAATTCAATGCCACAATGACTGTAACATTCAAAGTCAGAGTCGTGCAAATCTTGGGTTGGACCCCCATGATGATCCCAAGCATCACCTGCATTCCATGCGGTAGCTATTGGTGCGTTTGGGCGTCACATGTAACTGGAAATGTTTCTTCTGTTAGGTTCTATAGTGACTTTTTTCGTAGTCATTTGCATATTTTAGTATTATGCCCCCAAAATCAAATATCCCCTACTTTTTTTGAATAGTATATATTACCAAGATGTCCATGAATAAACAAAAATTAATAAGTCGAACGGGGACCGAATACGATTTGCCATTTGCTATTTTCGTTAATATATCAAATCTTCCAAGGCTTAATGCATGCTAATATGTACTCAGATTGATTAGTTAACATTTTATGTGGAAAACAAAATCAAAATCCCACTCTAGATAATGTCCCGACTTTGATTCAATCGGATTTTAAACAGGCCTATCAATAAATTTTCGCGGACCAAAAAATGGCGACGGGTTTATTACATAGCGAACAGCATGGATCGATGATATTTCAATGCCACCTATCTTTGTTAATATTGAACGGAATTGAACGATTCTTGGACTAATATTTCAATTAGAGATCCATCTTTCACCAGAATTTAGTTTGCCCGGATATCACCTTTAAACATAATATATAAGTATATGGCTGCAATTATTATATTGGTCATTAAAGAAAAATAGTTAAAGTTACTATTTAAATAATTTTGTGATTTAAGAACAGGCTATTTAAAAAGCCCTTAATGTCGCCAGCAGCAAAAACATGCACGTGTGCTGAACACCTATATACAATGGGTTTATAGGTGGCCCGTACAGAAGTACAATATAAGTACAATTCGAAATGTGAGAAAAGAGGCTGATCACAGCTCTTTCGCATGACGCAATAACAACAACTTGTAACTCGGTCTATATTTGAATAAAGGAACAACCTGTTTCAAACTAGAGGTTGGTTGTGTTTATTTATTTTTTAAAAAATTTCTAATTAATGTTGTACACCATTACCACCCATTTTGTTTGTATATGGTGTTAGATCGTATGAACGGTTAGATCTATTTCACATGGACACCGGTAAATATCTCCAAGGTGTAAGCAGGGTTAGGGCACGTGATTGTTGACGAGGATTGTGGGTTAGGGTTAGGGTAAGTCTTAGGGATGGGTCTTGGGTTAGGGTTAGGATTAGGGTTAGTGCAAGCCCTGTTTACATCTCGTGACCTATGACGAAATTGACAGGTGGCTATGTGAAATAGATCTAACTCAATATGAACCCAGACCACGTGCACCTATTGACTAATCAAATTGTCTGTCGTTGTGTGGTTTAATATGGGATTATTAAAACCCAAGACCATATTATGAGACTTACTCTAATTGGTTTAGGGTTCTAACCATATGGAATATTATTGACTAATATAAATAGAACTCTCACAGGCAGAACACGAATACGCTTGGTAGTGATCACGTGGCGATAACAATTACCCTCAGCAAGTCGCTATATCGAGATATGATTGAACGAAATAAGACATGGAAAATGTCTAAAGCGAACCAGGGCAGCTCCAATCTACTCTGTCGATAGTGGAAGAAAGAGGAACTGATTATAGAGGATACTGAAAAGTATACCACGAACGTAACCAGTGCCATAATTAGTGCAGCAATGGTCCATATTCCTATTACCAGAGGACGAACTGAAAAATCTCGAAAACCCTGGTGGAACGATACTTGTCAGGTCACACTGTACGAGACGTAATAATTCCTACGGACATACCTACCTGTAGGGATTTCGGGTGTACTCGAGGGGGGGGGGGGGTTATTTTTGGTAAGGCCAATGACGCGACAAAGCCTGGCCCAGCGATTGTTTGCTTGCATCCCCTGGACCTTGGTTGCCCTGGGCCCAGCTGCAAGTTAGATCGACAAACCTAGCCTCAGCAAGATCATAGCATTGACGGCAACGAGAGCCAGACTGCGCACGCTCGCCGTCTTATTTTCATTACCTGAACAGCTCTTTAGATGATTTTGTTTTACCTTGGACACTCTCCTGCAGAACGCATGGTGTCTTTATTAAGAAAACGAGATCGAATAGGCCTAGTAATTAACCCGAAATCTAATAAAACACTAATTTTACTTTTCTTTTAATTGAATACCACGAATTTGTACTGAATTGACTATGGATTAAAACATTTTGTTAGGAGCCACTCTGTCTGCGATATCACCTCGGTGGAAGCGGACGTAAAATACAACTAACTAACAGCAACAAGCCACTCTACTTTGTACGACATTTTTCGTTCATCGATTATTATTTGTGAATGAAGCTGCAAAAGTCTGATTGGATGGTTGGAATTCAGGTTGGAATAGAGTGGGATTTCGGTTGCAAACCGATTGGAAACTTTGAAGTTGTTTAATTCACGGGCTACAATAGAAGAAAAACGCATTTGCGCGGTTAAATTTTCAAAATTTTCTCGGGGAGCGCGAGGCCCCATACGTTCCGCTCCTACGCCTCTCGCAGATGTCGGGCAACGCCGTCTGTAACCCGAATTTTTTTCGGGCATTTCAGGTTTTGCCCCTCCCTCCCCCTAACATTCATGCAGTCCGTACGCCCATGAATCAACCTTCTTGATTGGTACACAATGAGCCAGCTAGTCGGGGGTTAAGAAAAATAGCCCATCGATGATCTTGAAACCGTTAGAGCACCACAAGATCATACATGTAATTCAAATACGAAATATCAACTTACCTACAGTTATATTGAGACCGAATGTGTCGTGTGACATTATGACTATCAGTAGTACCATATAACATATCTTCACAGTCCCCTTCATCTTCACACCCTGTCTCTTCTAACTAGTTGTATTCCGTAATTCTAGCATTGGTCTAAAACAAAACAGATATTGAAAGAATAAGCCAAGTATAATAACAACCGTGGCTACATCCTGGTTTATTAATAGCCACATACCAAATTTTATCAAATTTGAGGGGAGTAATATTTAACTGTATACTTCCACAGAATCCGGTCATGAACATACAACAATAGTTACAGTAGTTTGGTGACACTAACAGATAACGCTCCCAGAGTACTGCTGAAGCAAGACTACATGTCCTCTACCGGTTCCCACAAATTTCACAGTATTTCATCTATAACAGGCTGATAATGCGAATACATTTCTGTGCATATATATCCAAATACGGATAGATGGAATAAATTATGTCAAACTGGATTTGCATTGAATTTGTAACTCTTTTACGTACTAAATTCTACTCAATTGCTCTAAAGGTTACACATGTATATATAAACCAGTAATTGTCTTTCCATACACATTTTTGTGCGTAGATTTGATTGGTACTAAAGAATATTGGCAAACCTCAAACCATTTTTATGTAACATGTTCATCTTTTATGAAATATGTATAGGTCTTCCGGCTTCATACTGTGTTTGAAAAGTATGTTAATCGGAATCACAGATCTGCTGTTAATTCGAAAGAGGTTTGGTCAATCTTAAATCAATCTTAACTACTTGTAAAAAACGAAGAAAGAAAATCATAAAGCAAATATTATGTAATATCGCCAAATATTTATTTATTGGTGATTTTTATCAGTAATATGCAGACTTCAAATATTATCTAGATCGACATCTGTTGCCATTTTCTCTCTCTCAAGATTTAAAACGCAATTTCCTGACAAATTTCCGTGCTGATTCTGCAGTTTTTTTGGTTTGTTTGGTTTACAGTGTAAGTTTTCAGAATTTGATTTAATCAATGCACAAACAGGTGAAGCTGTTGTAAATGACTTGAAGATTGAAATTATTAGTTATATCAATATTTGTGCAATATGCGCCATTCTTCGAATATGTCAGTTTTTGATAAAGTACATGTACATATATGTTACTAAGGAGGGAATAGAAATTCTGGCACTGTCTGACATTTGCGCACGCGTAAGTAGAATTGGCTTTTAATACCAAAATGACTGAAATTAAGATTACGTTTTTTTCTATTTCGAAATATGACAAAATATTAAAGTGGCAGGTTAGGAGGGGATAAAGCCCAAGTATTGCCACCTGTACTACCAAAAGTATTTCCGATGGGAAGGCAAAAATCAAACGTTCAGCAGAAAGAAAATGGCTGAAAGGACCGAAACATTAAGGTCTGCTTTACTGTTTAATCCTACGGCAAAGGGGAAGTTATGCCCCTTATGAAACGATATAGGACCCAGAAGAACTCAATTTTACCGACGACTAAAGTAAAAAATAATGAAGAATTTTCTAATAGAAATACAGTATATATATTACTGTCTATTTTTGTAACTAATCAAGACAAAGACAAATACAACATACCTGAAAAATGATATTAAAAAAATCCACAGGAGGTTGTTTCAATAAATTTGATCTGGTAGAATTTAATAACTAGATTGATAAAGAACAAAACGATTGTATATTATATATCATTGCGTTAATCTATAAATAGTGCATGATGGGAATTTAACCTTTGTCATGAAATGTGCTTTCTTTCATGTAGCGTATTGACAAGAACCGCGGATCAGAATTATTCACAAACAAATTCAAATATCGCTATTATATTCTACAGAAGCTCACAATGAATTGATGTCTGATCAAATAGAATATTGTTGATTGGTTCAACTTGACTAAGATATTTCAAATGAAGTGGAGTTGGTCAAGTTAGTTTCGTACTTAGAGGAATCAGATAACGTAGTTAGAACACGATTCCCATCGTCTTAATTCCTTGAAGACCATTTTAATCACTATTACAGTTCCAAGTGTCATTAGCGTGTTTAATTCTTGCAAACAGTGAATTCCCCTGGTGGTACTAAACAATAATTGAACTGTTTAGTAAGTAGTTAATGTATGTCTGGTCATGTCATTAACTAGGTGTTGAATAATAGTAATAAGAACACTTGACTTCAGTATTTTGGATCGCCACCAATGACGGATTATTATGAATGTGAGACATCGAATATCATCGAATCTACTTATCTAATATAATGAAATTTTACTATATAAATTACTTTAGCCAGTCCTTCAACAACGCACTGCTAGACTTATCTCCACCTTCGCGGACTCCTAACTGGGTTTTCATGGTGTTTAATTTATGGAAGGCGTACTTTTAAAAAATTGTTTTTGTGTAAATTTCGTGACTGGAGTATCATGAATTAACGATATTAACGAAAGATAAATTCTAACGATATTGGTGTCAATGGAGGGAGCCATCCACCACCTCAATCAATCTTCTGATTGGGCCATAAAATGCCACCATTTATCGGTAATTACATCATTACACTGAACAAAACTAAAAAGCTTACACTTGAACTTTTAATGGAAATACTTTTTAACACATTAAAACCTAAATTCTGTATAGAAATTAATCTTACAGATATACAAAGTAAATTCATTTCAGCAATCAAATAAACACAATCTGAAAGGATATGTGACAATTGTAATGATGGGGATATTCCCAAATGGGGCCCATCTTGGTAATTGGTTATTCAGATGGAAATTACAATAGAACTTACGAAACCGCATATGAATAATAAATTACGATATTACTGTTAATAAAAACGATATTATTCATTCTACTGTTTAATGTCGTAATAGCCATTAGTTAGTAATCAATTAATAGTAATTAAATAATCCGTAGTTGGTCCTTAAAGTACATTCAATGCAGTTTACATGACCAAAGAAACTTACATCGAAGTTCACAAAGCTGATCAAATTTAGTGGTTCTTTTGTATGTAGAAATTTCGGTAATCGAGATTTAACGCCCATCCAACATATTCGCCGGGACTAATTCTTTAAGTGGCCTGATGAACGAGTTTTATTTAGATGGTACATCCGTTTTCTAAAAACTTTTAAATATGCAGAAAACTACTATGACGGTTTCTAAGGTTCGTCTAATCAACAAGGGCACCTTTGTTTAGGAAACCTTACACGAATTATGGTGTAATCTCAAATTATTTATCTATCTATCTAGAAATTATATGAAGAAACAACCTGCCATGTGGTCCACGTGTTATCTAATGTGTTCGGAAAACAACACAAACGTTCCCTGGGGACTCCCGCGGGTCTTAGAACGAAAGCTAAACGTCTTGAATTTTTCAGACAAATAGTGTAAAAGACGAAGAGTCTACAAGATATCATTAAGATCACACCGATAAAAGTGTTATAAAGAAGACATTCATCTATATCGACAGTATCGTTGCTATAACTGGTGGATGTCAATGTCGGGATTTCTAAAGCGTGGAGATATAACTACGATCACCAAAATGCCAAGACAAGCAAAAACGTAATCGATGGACATGTACTGCGAAGGTCCTATATTCCGATGGGAATGGAAAAGGCCAGCAAATGGAGTATTAACGCGGAACCACTCTCTTGGGATGTGGTACGGGAAGCTACCCTATTTTGTGACTCAGCCTTTGGCGGTGTGAAGAAACCACAGATTATGCAGGCGATTCTACTTCGTTTCACCTACCAGAGTTTCCGTAAATGATATAGTACACACTTAAATGCCCATTGTTAAGACTAATGACCTAATATAATGAAATATTCATTTCTCTTGATAGTTGATGTAGACAGTATGTAATAAAAAAAATTAAATATTCCTTTATCTTAATGCTTTTGTCGTTTACCCTTTCTGATGATGCAGAACTTGGTTTCTTATATTATCGTAACCATTAAACGGAAGTGTGGTACCAATGAGAAGCGTCTTTACTAAAGTTTACACAGTTCCTCTTAATTATTTCAAAACATTTTCAGTTATTTGAGTCGATTTTAAGTGATATTTATAAACTGAATTCTATTCTTTGCCAAACAGAAAGGAAGTATTTACCTGATGATCGTGAAGAATACTATTTAGAACATCCTGATAGTTCCTGTCGCGAGTTGATCTCTATTTTATCTGTTAAACTTTACGTTCAGCATCATATATACTAGGGAACCCTTTGCCCTTTGATTTAGTCAGCCTTTTCTGGAGTAATTACGAACAATTATTCCCCAATTTCGTTAACTCTGACCTAACCAAGTGATAAAATTGCATTTAATCACGTATCTAAAGATTAATGGCTTGGATTTGATATGGAGATTAATGGGATGGATTCCGTGTACCATGTATTTATTACGGGTAGGAATAGGAAAAGAATACACCGTTTAATCTTATAGATCACGCTAACGCCAAATCTTCTGACCAACTTTATAATGTGTCCAAAATGACCCCCCTCTCTATCATATGGATAGTTTTGGATTTAACCCGTTATTTTGGTCAAATATATCTCAAGCACGGATCGATCTTCTTTCTCAATTTCGTACTTCGTAATCCCACCGAATGCACACATATGTAAGCATATCCTGCAACAAATACGATTTCATGGGGCTTTTGATTAATACATGCAGTTCCAGTTAGTACAAAATACATCAAAAGGCATTCGATTGACCTCTACGAGAGCTTATAACCCATGTCACCCCTGGCGTCCATGTAATTTTGTCAACCATGTGTTCCAATACACAGTTTAAGACTACCCACATGGATGTGAAGTTTCAAAGAACATCAGCTACTACCATTAATCGTCAAAAAGGCAATAAGGTACATATACGTTTTTGGCTTAAATATTTTAAAACATATTTTTGCAACTTGCTTTGTTCAGTCACTCTAATTTGAATTAAGACAGACGGAAATAATAATTGATCTTTAAGGTTAAATCAACACTAAGTCACTAAGTCAATTGCAAAATTATTGTAAATTTTATTATTAGTACTACTACCATTATTATTATTATTATTATTATTATTATCGCATCTGTACTTCTGTATGTATACCTGTGAAATAAGTATACTATATTATTAAATGAAATGTAACTCACTATGACTG